AATTCAACGATTGTTTAAATAATTAATTGAATCACAGAGTTGGATTCGAATGCGCAGTTGTGGATTGTCCGTTCGATGAAATAAAACCGGACTGCTATCAGCTGAGAAATGCCACAGAATGCTGTGAGGACGAGCCGATTTGTCGTAAGTTCAACGAGAAATTGTCATGTATTTAATTAATGCAATTGATTAATTAATTAACCAGCTGATAAGAGAGAGGACTGGCCGGTGTGCGAGGTAGACGGAAAGACCTACAAAGCTGGAGAATATTTTTCACCTCCTGGGGAACCGAAGAAGGATTGCTATTGCGGTCCTGGGTACACAGGTAATAATAATTCAATTGCAGTACCATCAGTTATTATTTAATTATTTCAGGGGATAATGTCGCCCCTTTCTGCACGAATGCCCCGATATCCGAGTGCAGCATCGAATTGCGGCATGCGTATGACATTCATCACAATTGTGCACCGGTTTATTCCTCGGAGCAGTCGATTTCCACGGACTGCCCTCGAGAATCTAGATGTCGTAAGTCTATCCGTATTACTCAATACAATTGATCAATAATTAGGGAAATTAATTGTTATTAATAATATATAATAATTAATAGCCAATGATAAGGACGAAGTTATCAAGAAAATCAAATCGTCGAGCTCGAGCGAATCATCGGAGACCAGCGAGGAAAAATCGGATGGAGACATGATCTGCAGATTTGGCGGACTCAGGATGGCCCCTGGTGATCAGCTCAATCAGAAGACTAATTATGATTCTGTTTGTGTCAAATGCACTTGCGAAGTTCCACCGATTCCCAGTTGCATTCGTCTCCCATCGCAGGACTGCGATCCTACCGATCATCCGTCTTTCAAGACGAATTGATTAATTTATGATTAATCTCCACTACGATTGATTGATTTGTGTTGCATAACGATTTTATTCTGCTTACCGCTGTTGAGAGTAATAAATGCCTCGAGGCTAGATTGTATCAACGATTTTTTTTTCCGGACAATGTCAGATTTTTATCGGTATTTTTTTTATTGGAAAGATAAAAGTTTTTGGAGGGAGTTAGAATTTAATTAGAGGCAATTATGCTAATTTCCATTGTCGAGGAATTCATTGGAATTTACAGGGATTTCGATTTTTAATTATGGAAATTCTGTGATGACTCGTGTGATTGTTAATCAATGATTACACAGGGGATTCGCGTGGAGTGTGAAGTGGGTGATGACACACGTATTTGCTCCCTCCACTGGGAGTTTTTGTTATAAAAGTGGACACAACCTGGAGCCGGAGTTTAATACACAGATGTTAGTCGACATGTTTACGGTCTATTTGTTTGCCTGGAGTTTATTACTCACTGCTGCGTGTGCAGCACCTGCAGAAGGTACTGAACTCTCAAGTTCACTGAAATTTATTCATATTTTCCCTGACTTTCCTCATCCACAATTCAAAACAATCGGTGAAATACGCGATCTCGATTTTTAATTCCAAAATATTGAGAATGAAAACGTGAAATATTCAAAATCATCAATGGAAAGCAATTGATTTTATTTATTTAATTACTTATGAATTTTTTTTTTCAAAGGATGTGATAAGGCAAAATGCAAAGGACCTCTGAAATTCTATGAGGAATTGTTCTGCGAGCCGGTGTATAAAAACGAGAAAGACTGTTGTCCGTACAAATATAATTGTGAAAACCTGAAGAACAGATCGACTGAAAAATGTTATTTCAAAGGACATGAGTACAAAATTGGAGATCAGCTGAGAGAAGAGGATGCCAATCCCTGCGACATCGCCTGCTACTGCAGGGAAAGCCTGGGAAGGTCAGTATCAACCTTAAATTAATAAAAATTAATGAAGAAATCATGATAAATAATTTATTTCAGTGCCGGCTTCACCTGCGCCGTTGTCGACTGTTTCGCTCAAGCTCGTCCAGGATGTTATCTCTCCAGGAAATCCTCGGACTGCTGTCCTGGACCTGAAATCTGTCGTATGTCCAATCATAATCATAATCTTCGAATTATAATTACGACGATTTTTCAATTTGGATGGAAATTCATATTTCGATTGTTTTTAAATTAATTTTTAATTTTATTTCAATTGCAATTTAAGTACGACTTAAATTTTTAGCTGGACCTGATGAGGACTGGCCGACCTGTGAGGTTGATGGAAAAATTTATAACGCCAGTGATTATTTTCAACCCTCGGGTGAACCTGATAAGGATTGCTACTGCGGTCCTGGATACAAAGGTCAGGATTATTCAGGTCGAATTTATATACCTCTCGTATGAGAGTTCAATCAATTATTTCTCCAGGTGAAAACGTCGAGCCCTTCTGCAAGAGCCGAAAATCATGGTCATGCGGAACTGAATTGCGGAGTGCGTATGAAATCCAGAATAATTGTCCACCAGTTTTCTACAGCTCTCAATCTCCTCAGGAAGACTGCGCAGTAGCTTTCAGATGTCGTGAGTCAATTGATAATTAATAATTAATAATTAAACCGGAGAAATCGGTTGAATTGCAAGATTTTTTTTTTGGGCGATTAATTGGAATTATTGATGATTATTTAGAGAATGATAAGGACGAGGTCATCAACTCCGAGGAACATCCAGATGTGGTGGAAGCGAAATCTGCGGGTGAGGACACGGATGTCTGCAAATTTGGAAATCTCACCATGAAGTTGGGACAGGAACTCAATAAGGAAACCGATTACTCTTCGGTTTGTGTCAGGTGTATCTGCGAAGTGCCCCCTGTACCCACCTGTCAAAGGCTACCTGATGATGTTTGTGATGTTACCCAGCATCCGAAGTTCAATTGAAATCATTATCAGGAAATTTACGTAGCGAACAGCGGAAGGAACGAGTCGATTTATTAAATCGGTAATGATTCCACGAATATCTCGGAATCTAGTGGAGATAGCGGTATTATTATCATGACCTTTTTTGTAAATCTCATTTCAATCTACGAAAAAGGTTCTATACTAAATTTTTCTATTCCTTGTGGATTCAGAGATATTCCTCGAAAACTTAGACATTCCTGTGAATCGATTTGTTCATTCGATTCGACATTAATTTTAAGTCATTTTTCCGAAAATTGTATTGGTTATTAATAAATATTTTTATACTGAAGATTTTTTTTATTTCTCCCTGTGAAATCCTGACGATAAATTATTTTCTCAGTTTTTTTTTGAGACTGTAGTTCGAACCAGAAATTCTTGCCGATTTTTTTTTTACATTTTTTTGAGAATTTTCGGGAATTTCAATACAGAAATTCCCAAAAACAATGTCGTCGTGAAAGTGGGTCAAGGAGAAGACCTTCACCTCAGCGCTAATCTCCCGGATTTAAGTTTCCATTCAGGTAAAAATTTTTAACCTGTTGACTACGATTTGCGATTCCCGATATGCAAATGAATTTTAAAATCGTTTCACTGGCATTGCGAGGGGAATTAACCCTGAGGAAACACTTGTCGTCCTTCTATTATTCTTATCGGTTGTAATTACCCAAGACCTTCGAGACTATCGAATAATTTGCCGATTGTTTTGTTTAGCGAGAGTGATAATCCACAAAAAACAATCGATACAACAATTTTTAAATCAAATCATGGAATGGAACACGTTTTATCGTTTTATTTAAAAAAATCTTCACTCGATCCGATTTTGTATTCACCCTGCGCTACCGGAAATGTCCAAAGGCGCCTGACCAATTTTATTCTCGAAAATCGGTACCTGCTAGAAATATTAACAATCTTCAGGCCCTCTCGGCCATATAAAACAATCTCATTAAAAAAATCGGTTCGACAAATGAATTCACCCCTCAAAATAATTTATCCCAACAAAATAACTGCAGACACTTGTAACCGATTTTTCGTTTTGACGAATTGTAAATAATATTCACTCGCAAAGTGAATCATAAAAATGAAAATAAAAAACTTCCCTGTACAAAGAATTCCAATGACAACCGGCGGGGAACCCCTGAGGAATAAATAAAATACGAGATAAGACTCATCATCTCACGATTTGCGTTGAAAAATCGTTGACCCCCTCGTCTCAAGGAAAGTTCCTCTCAAATATAAGAGATGACGACGAGAAAATTTCAGTCATACCGAGCAGTCATGAATTCCTTCATCATCTCCATCTCCATCTGCGCGTTCACCGCGAATTTCCCTGGAGCATTCGCTCGTGAGTAATTACCGATTAATTACCGATCTCTGTCTATAATATTTTCTTCCAAATCAGAAAACGAATACAAAAATTGCCCTGGACCCTTGAAATTCTACCAAGACCTGGGGTGCACTCCAGTCTACGAATCGCCAACCGATAAATGCCCGAACCGATTCAATTGCAGGAGTATCGATAACCGATTGGCAGATAAATGTTATCTGGGGGGTAAGGAATATAATCCTCAGGAGGAACTACCCGAGGACGATAAAAATGCATGTGATCGCTGCACTTGTATGAAAAAGGAAAATTTGTGAGTGATTTATTAATAAATTTTTACCGATTTTTTTCATAAACAATTTTTTAATTATCAGTTCAGGTTTTACTTGTGCAATTGTCGATTGTTATCGTCCGAATTTACAATCAGGGTGCTATCAACAGCGTAATGCAACCCAGTGCTGTCCTGGGTTTTCTGTCATATGTCGTGAGTTATTTTGAATTAATTTTTAATTGTTGTCACGATTGAACCGATCATGATCGGAATTTTAATGCAGCCACGAACCCGGCGGACGTACCCACGTGTCAGGTTGATGGAAAAATCTACAAGGATGGAGAATACTTCGAGCCCTCGTCGGAGCCCGACAAAAGGTGCTTCTGTGGTCCCAATTATAAGGGTAATCTGTTTATATTAATTTATTACAATAAAATCTGTTGGTATTGATTTAAAGATAAATTTAATTAAATAGTTAGTGTTTTATTCATTTTTTAAGGGAAGTCCTCTGGAGATTTTATAATTGACTAGTGTCGGTAATTTTTTTATAAATAATTGAATAAATGTTTTAGGTAAAAATATCGCGCCGTTTTGTATTGTGAAACCGAAAAGCGAGTGCAGGACTGAAGTGAGGTACAGTAGACAGGTTTATTCAAGGTGTGCTCCTGTGTACGAGGCTGATCAATCCCCCCAGACCTCCTGCACTCTGAAATTCAGATGTCGTAAGTCCACGCAGCAAAATTTATTTGAAAAAATCCCTAGAATCACTTGCAAATGCAAAAAATGAAGTTTCGACTCGAATATCTCCGAATCCACGAGAGATATCAAAATTTGTGTAATAACCTTTTTTGTAGGTATTTTTTTTATTTATAAAAAAGGTTCTCAGAAGAATTCTCTATTTTTCGTAGATCCGTGGATAATTGAGGAAGGGTTCAGTTGTGATTTGTAATCTGTCGAGTTATTGAAGTACTTTTATTATTTCAGAGACTCAGAGTGATAGAGTCATTCAGATCGATGGGCCCAAGGCTCAGGGGCCCACCTGTAGGTTTGGCGACCTGGTGATGAACTATGGGGATGAGCTGAACATGGGGGATGCCGTCAATTCAAAATGTGTCAAGTGCCGGTGCGAGGTGTCACCTACACCCACATGTCAACGTCTTCCCCGAGATAAATGTCAGTGATAATTACATAAAAATTAATAACAACCTATTGCATTTTATTGATTGATTATGATCTGTTAATTGAGCTTGGAATAAAATAATTGAACATGATACTCTAGTGGTTTTTTTTCTTTTTTTATTTGCAGGAAAAATTTTTTGTGGTGACTCGATCCGACGGTTTTTTTGTAATTTTTATATAAAGAATGAGAGTAATGTTGTAAATAAGAAATATCTCATGTACATGCGAATGATAAAATTCTGTTCTTCCCCGTGAGATAACGTTTGTGTATTTAAGTCTCGACTCCAGGTACTCGGACCTCAGATCATCAATTAATCATGGCGAAACTCCAATTATTCATCGCTTTTGTTGCTATTGTTGTAGTTATAGCCGCTGCAACATCAGGTGAGATTATAAACAATTATATAATTTTTGATAATAATAATTGATTGTACAGCTCAATAATTACGTGACGGAGTGATTAATCCTATTAATTAATTAGTACCTGTCTTGCTACCTGTTAATACTGTAATAGATGTGTTTTATAAATAAATAAATTGTTATAGTTATGATGAGAATAATTATAAATTGTCATTCAAATCCAGAAAAAACTTGAATTGTTATTTTTTTTTTTCGATCCAACAAAAGTTTTGGTTTTATTAATTATTTGGTTGGTTTGTTTTATTGTTTATTTATGGTTATTTTATTTATTTTTAGTCCAGGCAGGTGCTGAATATTCTCGTGCTCGTCGGGCTGTCCCATGTGCCAATATCCATACGTATAATTGCGATACAATTTGCATTGCGCAGGGAAAACGTCCGAGTGGATTTTGCGAAATCAACAAATGCATCTGTTATTAATTTATTCTCATCTATAAATTATAAAATTGTTGAAACATTTTAACGGACAGGTAAACATGAATAAAAAGAACCGACGATTTTTCAATTGCAAATTTCCTCGATTTTTTTCTTCCGTAAAAAACCGGTAGTCAGTAAATTTTCCCCTTACAATTTATTCTGAATAATAAATAATTTATGAACAGAATCGCTAAGTATTGTAAAATGTAATTTGTTGATAACAAATTGTTCCTCAATAAATCACATAAATTTGCAACACTCGAAACAATTCGTAATTGATCAATTATACATCAATTTCCTGTCATTGAAATAATTGTTTAAATAAATTGAGGTACTTTCAGTAACTATTAATTTATTATTGTCAAATTACTATTGTTCTTGAAATTACGGTGTGTGAAATTCCGAGTGCGCGATAAATGACGCGCGTTTTATCAGCTTTTGTCATAATGAAAAATTATTCTCGTGATTCATTGTTGAATTTTTAAATAGTCATTAATATAACAAACTATTTAACCACAATTTTCCTGGTATTGTTGTCCTGTATAAGTCTTGGGTTCAGTTGAATTGTTCGAGCACTCGTGAAAACAGTCATGATTGGAAAAGTTCGCATCTACTTCCTGATGGTATTGTTGGTCGTCTTCATGGCTGGCCTGTCCCCAGGTAACTATTATTCAATTTGTTATAAATTAACAATCCCCTCCCGAGACTATCCAAACAACAAATTAATTTTTTAAATAAAACTGCAACAGTTCACCCTCACGTTAAACCGAATCGCACCGAAAAATTCTCTCTAATTCCGTCACTTTAAATAAATATTTATTTATGCAAAATAAATAAACAAATACCTCTCATCTTTTTTATAACTTATTCATTCAGCAGAAGGGGAGGAAAAAAAATTATTTATATGGAATTCCGGGGAGGAGACGGAGATTTTTAATATTTATTCTGCAAGTGGATATTGGTGGCTCTTATTTATTTATTAATAATTATGTTATTTCAGTGGCTGTTGCTGGGGTTGTACGACCTCCACAGTGTATTCTCTGCAAAGACAGAGATAGTTCTTCCGCATCTTCCGATTCTTCCGACTCTTCTCAATCCCGTTAACATGATGGATAAAATGGCAAACAAATAAACAATAAACAAATCGTGGACATAATAATTATCTCCCCGCAATAACGGATATCTGGATAAATAAATAGATAAAAGGCACTCTTGATCACTCATTATCCAATTCCCGATAATATTAATTATTATTCATCCGCTATTGTTCTTTCGTCTGGTTTTTCCGCTTGAAGTTTATTGTAAATATTTACCATTTGCAAATCTCAATTTAAACTCCACTATCTAGACGTTTTAACAAGTACTCGAGGAATTATGAAGGACTTATCGCATGTTACAACATATTTCTTTATTTAGTATTTGTCGTATGTAAATTCCGCGGATGTATATAAGGCGCAGTAAAAATTAACAGTCACTGATTTTTCACTGATTAATCAGTAATTAAAATGAAAAATATTTGGATTTTTATTTTTGGAGTGGCAGTTTTGCTTTTGGCAGCCCTCGCCGCAGGTGAATATTTATTTTTATTATTTTTATTATATTTTTATCCCATTTTTATCCGCCATTGATTTTATTTTGTGATAATTCATGGTTTTTAGCTGAGGGACAGCTGATTCCACCGCAACAACATCAATGCATTATCTGTCGTTAATTATTTTTCCGGATTGATTAACAATTGCTGATGACTCCAGGAATTATTCGCATTCATTATTATTCCGGGAAGAGAATAAAAAACATCGGAATTGAGTAATTGCGCAGAAAATATTGAAATTCATAAATGCAGTTCTCATTAAATATTAAATATTATTATATAATGAATAAAATAATAACAATATTTGTTTTATCAATTGATAATGATTAATTAATGAGTGAATAAAAGAGAGTTATAATTTTGAATTGATTTGTTTGTTGTTTTAAATTTTATTTAAACCACAATTTTTTTTTGTTGCATCGCTGTCTTGATTGGAAAGATTGATGCGCATTAATGGCGACTTGTAATGAATATATTACCGATAATTATATTTACGTCTTGCGGTTTCTCATGGAAACAATCAGTCGTAACCAAGGACTCCAGCTCGCAACTCCTGTTTCCTGTGTTCTGTCAGTAAAATAAAAGAAATCATGGGAATTATTCGAATCTGCTTCTTGATGATGATGACGGTGATCCTCTTCCTGGCAGCTCTACCTCGAGGTTTAATTTTTTCAATTAATTTTCAAATCGTTGAAATAACAATTGGAGGGAAAACCAGAACGTGTCGTTCCATTTAATTATTTATTAGTTTATTATTGTTATTTTTTTTATTTTAGTGGAGGCACCACCACCACGTCCACCCCATCACTGCATTCTGTGTCGAGGATAAAATGGAATTCACCGGCGATCGATTATTAAATGGAAAATGATGTTCAATTATTCTGATTGTTTTACACAATTCAGTTATTCAATGCTTTAATTAGAAAATGTAGTGATTGCGAGGAATTTAATTAGTGGAAAAATCATAATGGAGATGTTCACGAGAATTAATTTTCTCTTAGAATTTTCATAAATATTTGCAAATTATTTACCAACAAATTGTCTTTTTTTTCGAAAGGTGAAGCTGTTCCTTTTTTTTTTATTTCGAACGAGACTAAATAATTAATCATTATTCATTAATTATTATTGATTGTAGGTAATAATTGGTAATAAATTATCGCAATTAATGATTTCATTTTGAATATAATTTTGATAATTTTTGAATCAATTTTTTCTTGTAAAATTGTTATTTTTTAACGAATCATTCTGTTTGATATATCGCGAGATGTGCAATTAATTCAATAAATAATTGCCTCCCCGGGGAATATGTATATCTCGGTATCATTAACGGGGCTATAATTAACGATGATCATGATGGATTCCTCGATCTTGTACCTTTTTCTCAGATAATCATTGCAGTCGTAAACAACGAGTGTAACGAACAAGTGCCAGTTCTTCAATGACTCGATGTCACTAGAAATAATTGCAATGAGAAAAGTACGTGTTTGTATTTTTATTTTTGCGGCGATTCTCATCATTTCGGCAGCCCTACCCACAGGTAATACTATTTCCAATCAATTAAAAATACAAATAAACAATAATAACAACAATAACTGTAACAACAATTAAAAACAATGAGACAATGAATTCCAATTTTTCGTTCATGAAAAAAATTATCGATT